AGAAGCCGCACTTCCAGGACCCAAGACCAAACAACTATGTCGGCTCGCATCCTAGTGCTTCAAAGCAGCGACTGCGCAAAAAAAAGCATTTCAAACCAAGATTCCAGCTTCTGAACCTTAAACTTATAAAGCCTGAATCCAAGCCCCGAAACCTCTAAACCCCAAATCCCGAACATTAAACCCTCAAATGCACCTGTAATTCCAAAACCCCCTACCCTTCCCCAAGGTCCTTCCTGGAAAGGCAATTCTAGAAGCTCAGTTGCCTTTTTGGCGGTGTTCTGCACATACTTATACATATACAGAGCTTGTAGGACCCACAACTAAACTCTAAACGGCCCTAAACTAGTGCAAGTTGTTTGTCTAGGGAGAGTCTCTGAGGGCTGCGCGGAATCCCCTGTGAGGCCCTTGAGGACCACTCGCAGGCCCCGGCGGAGAAGCTGACGCTCCTCAGAGCGGATCGGGTCCATGCTTCGTGTTGTTTAGGGTTTAGGGCTTAGGTTTCCCTAAAACGTCATACCAGGAAACCTAAACCCTAAACCCTAAACCCTAAACCCTATAAACCCTAAACCCTAAACCCTAAACCCTAAACCCTATAAACCCTAAACCCTAAACCCTAAACCCTAAACCCTATAACCCAAAGCCCAGTACTGCTTCCTGGCTCATGTCATTGGTTGAGGGGATCTGGGCTTCATGGGACTCAAGGGCTTCGGTGTTCATGGCAGTGCTGTACCGGCCCAGGGTTTTGTGGCTTCGGGTTTAGGGGTTTAGGGTTTAGGGTTTAGGGTTTCGGGGATTCGGGTTTAGGGTTTAGGGTTTGGGGTTTAGGGTTTAGGGTTTAGGGGTTTCGGGTCTAGGGTTTCGGGGTTTACGCTTTACTCCGTGAGAAGCGGTACTATCGCGCTACTAGCTGGACCCGGGCCTTACAGCACAGGAGTTCCAAGTTACGATGCCCTCAAACCTCATGTAACAATCCCTGATTGATAACCCGATCTGATGGCCTTCAAATGAAACAGGATCCCTTTTGGGTCCTTACGTAAAGAGTACGAGTCGCAGTGATATAAGACAGGTAAACCCTCGAAGTTCAGACACGCATAGGCCTTCTGTAGAAACGACATACGTCTGCAGCTGAGATGCCCATGATATGGAGCCTGCTGATAAAGGCATACACTAAGCCCTGTGGGCGTAGTGAGAGCCCCTCAGCAGCCTACACGGTGGCCTCGCTCAGCTCTGGTTTCCATGTTAACTTGGGAACCTTGCACTATATTCATACTGTAGAGCCCCGAATCCGGAACCCAGGGCCTTCACCGATGTTCAAGGGACACCAACTTAGGGTTTAGGGTTTAGGGTTAAAGGGTTTTCAACGTCTCAAGAGATCAGAGGGACTGTTCCAGAACTTGTTCTGCCAAGAAGCCAGCTACCTGTGACAAGGGTCTATCTATGTGCTCCCTGTCTATCTAAGGATCTATCTATCTACCTATGAATCTATCTAGCTATCTTTCTATCTATCTGTCTGTCTATCTATCCATCTGTCTGTCGGTTGATCTATCGATGTATCGGTCTATCTATCGATCTATCTAGAAGCTAGAATTCGGATGCAGGCATTGTCCAGAGACCGTGCGTTGCTGTATGCGCATTCTCATTAGAAATAGAGCTGACGGTTACGCAGAAAAAATGCACACGACACGTATACAAACACATGTCCATATATGCACATACTTATTTGCATGTACGTATGTATGTATGTATGTATGTATGTATACAGATATATAGATAGACCGATAGATAGGTAGATAGATAGATAGATAGACATATCCACACATACTCATACACGAGCGGTCTCTATGCATACATGCATGTATGTGCATCTGTATACATATGTATGTATGTATGTATGTATGTATGTATGTATGTATGTATGTACGCATGTATGTATGATACTATCTGCGTATTCATAATGTACATGGCACGGGCTTCTACGGTTGACTGAGTGGTCTCTCTGCGACGAGGGGTCAGCTTGGGCAGTCGTCGCGGCATCGCTGCTGGCCATTCCGATGCAGGCTTCAGGTTTAAACCAGGAGCAGTTGCTGGGTTTGGGTCTGGAGCTTACTGTAATCATATAACTAGAGTCGAGATAAAAATCAAACTCACATCATAGAAACCACACACACACGAAAAAAAAAAAAAACTTCAAGCACCGACATGCAAAACACCCATCTTACACACCCGAAAGCCCATCACTTCATCCAGAAAGTTTTCGAGTCCATGTCTTCGTACTTCATATACTTATTCCCGGAATACCTACCCTAAACGAGCTTCTATGCTTTAGGGTTGGGGGCTCGGGTTCTGGGTTTGCGGGTAATTTCCTTACGTGAAGAACATGATGCTCCACGAAGCATTGCAACATGGCTGCTTGAGCCTGTTGTCAGCTGTTGACAAATCACAGCTGTGCGGCATATCCGAAACTTTTTTGATGAAGGTTTGTCCTGCACTAAACACTCAGACCCACAGCCCTTTCGTGCCACCGGCCACCCTCCAAAAAAACAACAGGCAGGCCTAGATCTTAGAGGCGCACCACGAGCCACGAGCTTCGAGAGTACTGACTGTAGGGGCCTTTTTGTAGAATATCATGTAGGTGTATATTGTACGATAAAAATAGTAAGGAACACCCCTAAAACAGGATTGGTACATAATTAGGCCCCTAAGTTGTGCATGGGAGTTTCAACAACTAGGGAACCCCGATGTAGAACTTGAGCCCGCCAGTAAGTGAGCCACAGATGGGACGCCCTGAGGCCTACGTCGACTTCGCCACACGCACAAAGTCTGGATCCTAAATCCCGAAGCATCAGGCACTGAATCATTTGGGTTTAGGGTTTAGGGTTTAGGGTTTAGGGTTTAGGGTTTAGGGTTTAGGGTAATGCTCTTTTTAAGCAAAACGTCCCATGGGAGAACGGGTACCATGTATTTGTATGAGAAACCCTAACAGAGCAGTATGGAATCTTGAGCTAGGAGCCCAGCAGACCCTTCAGGCTTATGGCTATAGTTATAGGGTGGACTTGGGTTTAGGGTTTAGGCTTGAGCTCTCGAGGTTGTGCCACGAACCGGCAAGTTGACAGTTGGGCAGATAGAGACAGGTTGACCGAGAGATGGATGGACAGTATGTGCAGTGGACATGGTACGCTGCTGGTTTGTGTTCTACATAACCCGCATCTTCAGAATGTCATAGTGGTGGTGGTTGCTGAATGTACAGGCGGCATTAGCACTGGATTGTTCTTCGGAAAGCATGACAAGCAATGGGAGCCTCGGTGATTTCCAACACACTGTTCATCGACTAGAGAACCTTGTGTTGAGCAGCAGGATGGACCCTGACTCGTCTGTGGCCAGTCATGAAGTTTTAGCCTCCAGAATGAAGAAGGAGTATGTACCGAGCTTACATCTACGAACATGATGATCACGTGGCTCATATTCGGTGATGATATTCAACGAACATCCTGAGCCAAGCCCGAAATCCACGTTTAAGCCTACCCAGAGAACCCAATACCCCTTAATTAAGGAACATACCTTAAGTCATAATCTTAAGGCCCCTATAATTTAAGGTAAATTCCCTAATTAAGGGGTATTGGGTTCTCTGGGCACATCCGAAGGTGTTGCAGACGTTGAGTCTCACCTCTGAACCCAGGCCTGCGGCGAGAGCATATCCCTCCCGATCGTTCAGCGCCCTCTCCGCCGGGCGGCGGCCAATCCTATCGAAGTCTACCATTATTGGCGGCTTTGCGATTTTAGGATTTGGGGCCTTGGTGGGTTTTGGGGGGTTCGGTGTGTAGAGCTGTGTGTGCGTGTGTTCCGCTGAGTCCTGAAACTGTCACGCATTGACGCACGAGACGGCTTGCCTTCTGATATTGATTGCGAATGGTAGGCATGTTTGTCCGTAGTGTCTCTTGCGGTCTCAGGGTGCAGAGCAGTGGCAGCTTAAGTTACGATGTCGCAAGCAGTGCTTTCATGCTGCGCACTGGGTTCAGGGTTCAGGGCTTCAAGCTTCTCGGGTTACAAGCGTCCATGCAAGTCGGTACATCTCAACTTCAGGTCGCTTCAAGGACCAGTTGAAACCTGAAGAAATTCTGAACAACTACTACCTCCATCAAGCAAGCCTTTGAAAGCTTAACGCCCAAGCCAACATAAAACCAAAACACCCGAAGCACTCGATTCCCAAAGCTTGGAGAGCGAGTCTCCGCCTTTGCAAGCCTCCGTGCCTAAACAACTCGGGTTAGTCAAGGCCTTCTAAGATACTGCAGAGTCTTTGAGGTTTAGCGTTTAGGAACCGAGGGTTTATGGTTCAGAGTTTTAGGGTTGCGGGCTTAGGGTCTTATAAAAGGTCTTTGAGGTTTACAAAAGCTTTATGAACACTTGTAAGGTTTACATGGTGGAGCTTTAATTCTGTAAGTTACTGGGAATGAAAAAGCCGCAAAGGGTACTTTGGGCCGGCCTTCTACAGACACCCAAGCCTAAAACGTGGACAGGCAAACACCTCAAGCACCTAAACCCATTGCAACTACATGTAGCCCCGACCGTACACAGTAGTAGTTGGATCCGCTGATTGCTGAGGCTAAGTATGATGTGGCAGGCTGGTAGGTATTTGAAGCCAGTAGCTTGCTAACCATAGCAAGTGCAATTAATCCAGTAGGCCCTTGCTTCAGCACTAAAACCTCAACTCTACACTCCAAACCCTAAACCCTAAACCCTAAACCCTCAACCCCAAACTGCAAACCCCAAACCCTAAACCCTAAACCCCCAACCCTAAACTCCAAACCCTAAACCCTCAACCCTAAACTGCAAACCCCAAACACTGAACCCTAAACCCTAAACCCTCAACCCTAAACCCCAAAGCCTAAACCCTCAACCCTAGACCCCCAACCCTAAACTCCAAACCCTAAACCCTAAACCTTAAATCCCAAACCCTTTCAGGCAGCCGGAGCCACAGGCATCCGACACTCTTAGCCCGGCACTCGGCCACCAAGAGCTCCGTCATCATCCGATGAGCCGAACCTCGAGCTTGGACTAGGGCCTACCTTAACCCCAAATTTCCTACCCTTTTTAAGGACTTAGAAAAAGAGTTCATAATAAGGGACCCTAAAAAGGTAGGTTCTTTAAGGTCCAGGTAGGGATTGATAGAGTAAGGTTTCAGGATCTTAGGGAGGCTTTTGATTTTACAGGGTGTGGGGCTTGTGGGGTTTGTGTTGTTCTGGGTTTATGGGGTTTGGTGTTTATAATATTTGAAGTCTTGGGTTTGGGGGTGCTTCTGGCAGGTAGGTTTTTTGGTTTGCTTTTTTAGATTCAGCATTCATTGGGATCTTGGTGGGGTTGCTACGGTTGTTGGCTTGGTGTGTAGGATTCAAGGTTTGCTTTGAAGAAGACATCTCTCGCCCAGCAACATACATGAAGCATCACAACCAGGGACACTGGATCGCAGGCTGAAAACCTGAGGCCTAAACCCTAAACCCCTAAA